AGAGAAAAATACCACATGATCTCACTCATTTATGGATAATAAAGACCATTATAAACTAATGAACAAAAATAGATACAGAGGCAGAGCAGCATTAAACAGATTGTCAAACTACAGTAGGAAGGCTGGGGAGGATTTGGGGACGGGTGGGGTGGGTAAGAGATCAACCAAAGGACTTGTATGCATGCACATGACCATAACCAATGGACACAAGACACTAGCGGCGGGGGGCGGCGGGTAAGGGAGGCTGGGGGAAGGTCAAGGGGGAAAAAAGGAGACAAATGTACTACTCTTTGTAATATTTTAAGCAAGGAAAAAAAAGTTATATTTTTTAACACCTTGCTGGACTGGCTATTTTGAGGCAGAACTTGCCTGTGTAGCTGGCTGCTTTTCTTTTAATAGTTTTGGCAACCTACGGTTTCCCTTATTGTTCACAGACCAGTGTTTTATTATTCAATAATAGCTCAGCTCTAGATATGCTGTTGTACTTATTATCTTGGTAAATATGATGCCAAGAACCAAAAAAGGCTATAAGACAGATAATATAGTCCGTTGTAACTTTTTGGCTTTCCCTATATTATATATCTTTTTAAAAAATCTTTATTGTTGAAAGGATTACATATGTCTCCTATTTCCCCCCATTTACATCTTCTATCCTGCCCCCACCCCCCCACCCCAGGCCTTTACTACCCTATTATCTGTGTCCATTGGTTATGCATATATACTTACAAGTTCTTTGGTTGATCTTTTCCCATCCACCCACCCTCTGTATTATATATCTTGAAGTTACAAATATAACCACTCTTTACTTTCACAAAGCGTTCTTACCAAATTTCCATGTTTTATTATTTTTGCTGGATTATATGTCTTGAATCTGATGCGTCCTCTCCATGGAATCATTGTTTCGAGTGATAACTGCTGTTTTGGTATATATAAAGATTTAAATTTATAAATAAAGTGATCCAAAAGAGGTCTAACTTTGTAAAGATGGTCTGTGTTACATGTTGTTTGTGAATTGTCATTCAGATGACAGAATGTAAGTATTTGCTTGAACCTCTATCCAGTCATAGTTTTTAGAAATAAGGGTAATTTGCCCTAACCGGTTTGGCTCATTGGATAGAGTGTTGGCCTACAGACTGAAGGGTCCCAGGTTCAATTCTGGTCAAGGGCACATGGCTGGGTTGCGGCCTTAATCCCCAGTAGGGGGCGTGCAGTAGGCAGCCAATCAGTGATTTTCTCTCATCATTGACGTTTCTAACTCTCCCTCTCCCTTCCTCTCTGAAATGAATTAAAAATAAAAAGAACATAGAATATTTCTAGGAAGGAAGGGGGGGAGGGAGGGAGGGAGGGAAGGAAAGAAGAAAGGAAGATGGGTGATTCAAGTAAGGGATTGGTTGACCACCAGTAATTTTTTGACTTCTTTGTTAGTTCCATCAATATAATTAAACCAAGAAACTTCTTTATACTAGTATCTATCAATATAAGTAACGTCTGTCTATGGTGAAGCTTTAGCAGAGGTTTTGTGGTATTTTTCCATTTGTTGATGGTATAAATTGATTTGAGAAGTAGTGAAATCAAAAAATAAATTGGGACCTAGCCAGTTTGGCTCAATGGATAGAGTGTTGGCCCATGGACTAAAGGATCCTGGGTTTGATTCCAGTCAAGGACATGTACCTTGGTTGCAGGCTCGATCCCTGACCCTGATTGGGGCATGTGCAGGAGGCAACCAATTGATGTGTCTCTCTTACATTGATGTTTCTCTCTCTGTGTCTCTCTCCCTCCCTCCTGCTCTCTCTAAAAATCAATGGGAAAATATCCTCGGGTGAGGATTAACTACAACAAAAAAATTTTTTTTTAAAAAAAGCTTACTTATATTTTGTGGGTTTTCAGATTGAACAGTTACATCTGAAACATTTATAAAATCCTCCAGAGCTGGTAAAATACATTTTTCTGCTCATTCTTCTTCAGAATCACTTTCACTGTCAGATACTATCACATATCTCTCTTGCCTTCATGATGGTCTAATGTCAGACTCATTACTATCTTCTGACAAAGTACTATCTTCCAGCTGACTACCAAAGTCTGACAGATAAAGTATCTGCACATAATTTACTTAAATGGTCTTCTCTGCTGCAATGTGGTATTTTAAAAAGAATTCGACGTATTTTAAAGAATTAGATATATTGTTTGTCACATCTCTGAAAATACTAATGAGTTGAGAAAAAGACCTGAGTTAACTTTTGAGGGGTCAGCAATGTTTGGACACAGAAACACGAGTATACTTGTGACAGGTCAGCAAGGTGTTAAAAAGAACTAAACACAATACATACAAACTAATCGTTTCTTTTAAGCTAATTTTTAGAGTATCAGATCATTTTGATCCAGTCATATGTAAAGGTTTGGACTTCATTGTCTATATGAATGATATATATATATTACTCTGTTCCATAGGGTCAAGAGAAATATGGATTATTAAATGTAACAAAAATTACTGAAAATGGAAAAAAGGTTCGGTAAGTACACAATAAATGTTCTGATATGTTTCATCTGATTGAAATAAAGAAAACATGAATTTAATTATTATATGCTAGTAGAAATGTTTAAAAAGTCTGTAAGAATTTCAAATAATATATTTTCTAATATAATGTACGTATTATTGTCATGAAATGTATGAAATTTTTTCTTTGTCTTGACATATTAAGGTGAAATTAAATTAGATGTGAAAAGGCAGAGGATTCTGAGCAAGGATTGGCTTTATTAAAATTTTTTTAGTAAGTAATAAATGCACATGACAAAAAGACAAAGGTATGCACAATATTTAATCAAAAGTCAGTCACCCAGCCATCAGTTCCTCTCCCCAGAGGCAACAAGCTAAATCTAATGAGATGTAGTATTTTCCTTCAGAGAAAATAAATATATATATTTGTATGTGAATAGATTAGTTTTTAAGTACAATCTTTTGACAGTTTATCTTGGACATGGTTTCATTTCATTGCATGCAGAGCTGCCACATTGTTTGTGACTGCTGCATAGTTACATATTGTATGGCTATATCACAGTTCATTGAACTATTCATTATTTGCAAGTATGTAAATATGCCTATCTATCGGTAGACATTTATGATGTTTACATTTTGTTGCTATTACAAACAAAATTATACCTAGTGTCTTGCATAGTTTATTTTGTAAGTATATAAATAGGCCTATAGAATCTTATTTATATAAAAACCCTGGGTGTAACATCGCGACCGAGGCTCGACCAGCCGGAAGGAAGTCAGTCCTGCAGGGGTTGTCTTGGAAACGGCTGCACCCTCCTAAGCTGTTTCCCGCAAGGGCGGTGAGGTTTCAGGCAGGAACCCGCCCTTGGGGCATGGATGCACTGAGTCCTGGGTCCTCTTAGCCACAGCTGTGCCCTTCCTGAGCTATTTCCGGTAAGGGCAAGGTTTGAGGCAGGAACCGGCCCTTGGAGCGTGGAGGCATATGTTTATAAAGTTTTAATACATTATATTAGAGGTCATGGTGGTAGTTTTACCCACAGCATCGACAGGAATTGTTGCAAATTTACTTCTCTGT